CAAATTTCAAGATACCAGAAACCAGTCACCTGAACTCAAGTGAGGATAATAAATGTCAGGGGAATATTTATAGCTTGGTGTATGGAGACTTTCCAGGTCCCTGTTCTGCAATAACACAGATCCATCTGCTAAGGGCATTAGAGTTGTATGTTGTTGCCTTTTTTTTTTTTTTCAAATTGATAGATTCTGAAAATAGAGAACTGAAGTATGGAAAGACCAATATTGATTTTAGCCATTTACTACTCAAATAATTATTGAATTAGAATTTAATTACCAACAGCATAGTTTCTCCATAATTCTGGCTGTTGGATGCAAGCCCAGAAGAAACCTTGGCTCGGTCTTACATAAGCTCCTGTCATCACTGTGCTGATAGATCTACCTGAGGATTTACAGAACAGTTGTCAGAACTTGGGGACCTAAGGATAGTCCACTCCCAAACCTATCGTTGGGATTATGATTGTTTTTACTGCTATACTATAAACATGGCTACCACTGTCACGATCATCAGCTAATATGTTCCTGTCCTAAGGTCATTGGAGGAGAACCTTTAAATACCCACACATAGAGCTTATATGTATCTGTACCAGGTTATCTAACTTTTATTATATGATAAGCTAGGGTAAGAATCTCTCGCTCCTGTCCATCTGTGTGTCCCAGCCTAGTGAATTTTCTTAGAGCTGATTGAGGGTTCAATTAGCAGCTGAATGAGAAATTGTATGCATTATTGAGATTAACACTAGAAAGTGTCTAGACAACACAACAAGGTAGAATAAGAGTGACATTTTTTCTGTGGCTATAAATGCATATTGTCTGTTTTACTAAAGAGAAGACACTATTTCAATATGAAAGGCAAGGAGGCAATGTGCCTTGCGTTACAACATGGAACTTTTTCCAAAATAGTATGTAATTTAAATTTCACCCCATATATTTTTTATACCACATACTTTAAAAAAATTCATTACTAGGTCATCGGTTCACATTGAGTTCTCTCTCTCTCTCTCTCTCTTTTTTGACAGGCAGAGTGGACAGTGAGAGAGAGAGAGACAGAGAGAAAGGTCTTCCTTTTGCCATTGGTTCACACTCCAATGGCCGCCGCGGCTGGTGCGCCACGGCCGGCGCCCCGCACTGATCTGAAGCCAGGAGCCAAGTACTTATCCTGGTCTCCCATGTGGGTGGCGGCCATTGGAGTGTGAACCAATGGCAAAAGGAAGACCTTTCTCTCTGTCTCTCTCTCTCTCTCTCTCTGTCCACTCTGCCTGTCCAAAAAAAAATACATCTTGGAGATAAGATCTTACTGTTATACATTTATCTAACATGAAAGCCTTTAAAAAAAATTCAAAAGCATTGATAAAATCCTAAGATACCATGTAGAGTCTTGTTGAAAATTAATTCTGACGGTTACTTCTCCTATTGCAAATAATTATCTTTAATATATTTGTGGCATATATTTTATGTTTGGACTTATATATTGTAGAATTCTATAAAGACAAAACATTGATAAGAAACAGATTTGGACATTCTTCCAGCCCTGTGGGCTTAATGCTTTGCTCCTTGTTACTTGAAATGTCTTAAGTAATCAGCTTTCTTCTCAGAGATATTATATCCCTAGTCAATATATATGATTGCTTAGAAGTCCTAACATTTGGTTTATATTTTCTCTTTCTTATAATGATCGGAGAAAAAGTGATCTCTTCAGACCAAATCTCTCCCTAAAGAAATTAGGCAGTATATAATATTAGCTAAAATGTCAAATTCATAACAAGAATTCTCTAACTACTTGGGTTCAAGAATAGGCAACAGTATATGAAGGTAAAATAGATTTGCAAATATCCCCAGATCTACAAGTTGGGGCTAAAATATTGTGATAGGTTTCAGTAAAAGCTAATCTTAATTTTTTATTTCTTGTTTGTTTGTTTGTTTGTTTGTTTGACAGGCAGAGTGGACAGTGAGAGAGAGAGAGAAAGAGAGAAAGAGAGAAAGAGAGAAAGGTCTTCCCTTGCCATTGGTTCACTCTCCAATGGCCGCCGCGGCCGGCGCACTGCGCCTATCCGAAGGCAGGTGCCAGGTGCTTCTCCTGGTCTCCCATAGGGTACAGGGCCCAAGCACTTGGGCCATCCTCCACTGCACTCCCTGGCCACAGCAGAGAGCTTGCCTGGAAGAGGGGCAACCGGGACAGAATCCGGCGCCCCAACCGGGACTAGAACCTAGTGTGCCAGCGCCACAAGGCGGAGGATTAGCCTATTGAGCCGTGGCGCCAGCCTACTAATCTTAATTTTATTCATTTATTTCCTAACAATAATATGGTGTCTGAGATGAGATTCATAAAACTGTCATGTATTGGAGAAATGCAATATTTAAATTAGTCCAGTGTTTACTGAAAAATTACTATACAAGTGAAATTCAAGTGTTCATGAAAATGGAATTAAAAAACAAGTTCATTTTGGAGCAAAAAATTGGAAATTCATTGTTCCGAGGTTTCAGAGTATACAGTTTTCTTAAAAATGCATTTCACACTAACTTATGAACTCTCAGTGTAGGAATTTCAAAAGTTTTTCACATCAAAATAAACATCTTTTAATTCCGTTTTCAATGAACTTTTGGAAGTACTCTCATATTTGGGAGACTATGATAAATAATGGGATAGAAGAAAGTAGGATGCAAAAATCATAAAATATTTATAATTGCAAAATTGTTATATTCTTATTTTTTCTGTGAACTATATTGAATCTGTTAAAAGCTAAAAAAAAACTTAAAATGTTTTCTCAAAAGTGAACAAAATATTAATTTGGAAGTAATTATTTATTGACTTTTAACTAAGTACCAGCCTCTTTTTCAAGGTTTCATCAATAAACACAGTTGACTTCAATATCAGTTTTTACTTCTTCAAGAAGAAAACTAAAGAAAATAAATGTGATTGAGTATTATAGAATCTAATGGAAGGAACGAAGGAATCCAGATGGAGGGCAAAAATCGATGTTACCTTTGAGAAGAGTAATGTGAGGCCTCAAGTGGAAGAGGGCATGTGAACTGAGGCCTCAAACGTTCATGTGTTAGAAGGAAAGAGTTCCTTGGATTGGAGAGAGTGCAAGGTCCTGTATTGAAAAACAGTCTGACAATTAGAAAACATAATTATTCAGTAAAGTCATCTGGGTTCAAATGTGTGTCAGTTTCCTCATCCTTAAAACGGATCTAATAAAAGTTTCTGGAACTGGCATTTTGGCACAACACGTTAAACCATAGCTTGCAACACCCATATCCCATATCAGTGCTTCAGTTCAAGTCACTGGCTGTTCCATTTCAGATCCAGTTCCCTTCTAACGCATTTGGTAGGGCATCAGAAGATGACTCAAGTGCTTGGGTCCCTGCTACCAACATGGGAGACCCAGCTGGAGTTCCTGACTCCTGCAGAGCTTCCTTTTGTGGCCATGTTTGGAATGAACCAGGGAAAGGAAGAGCTCTCTCTGTGTCTCTCCCCACCCCTCCCTCTCTGTCAATCAAATAAAATATACATGTATTCCAAATCTACAAGTGTTCAAAATTCTTAAAAAATGGAATAGCACTTGCATATAATCTGTGCAATCCTCTTGTATACTTTATTTTTAAAAATTTATTTATTTATTTGAAAGAGAGGGAATCCCATCTGCTAGGTTACTTCCAAAATATCTGCACTAGACTTGTCCAGGGATTAGAGGAGGAGCCAGCAGTGCAATCCAGTATTTCACATGGATGGGTAAAATCAATTGCCTGAACCATCAACTGCAGTCTTTCAGGGTTTGCAATGAGCAGCAATCTATAGTCAGAAGCTGGAGCCAGGGATTGAATCCAGAACTTGCAATGTGATAAAATATTTTTTTATTTATTTGAAAGTCGGAGTTACATAGAAAGAGAAGGAGAGACAGAGAGAGCGAGAGCGAGAAAGAGAGATCTTCCATCTTCTGGTTCACTCCTCAAATGGCTGCAATGGCCAGGGCTGGGCCAGGAGCCTGGAACTCCATCCAGTCTCCCACATGGGTGCAGGGGCCCAGGCACTTGGGCCATCTTCTGAGGCTTTCCCAGGTGCATTAGCAGGGAGCTGGATCAGAAGCGGAGCGGCCGGGGCTTGAACCAGCGCCCACATGGGACGCAGCATCACAGGCAGCGGCTTCACCCGCTGCAGCTCAGCGCCGGCCCCTCCCTTTGTCTTTCTGAGACCAGCGGAGTCTGGGGAGGATTTCTGCGGGGAGGGTGTCGACTTGGACTCCACGGAAGATGGGAGCCATGGAGGCTTCTGAGCTGGAGAGGGCCAGAGGGGGGTGGGAACAGACTGCAGCCCGGGGGGCCACGGTGGGGCTGGGGAGAGGCGTGGGAGAGAAACAGCTCAGTGGAGGTGGCGCTGGACATGTCCCTCACAAAACCCCTGCAGGTTCAGCACCAGGGCTGCGGGCGCTGCGGTCTGAGCTGGGGACGGTGGTCAGGGCGGCGTGGCGATGACACGGGGCAAGGGGGAGGCGGGCACCTGCCACTTGGCCCTGCCTGGTTCCCGGTGGACAGAGGCCACGGAGGGCGGAGGAGAAGGGAATCCAGCCCGCCGCGGCCACCGGGCGATGCTGACTGCCCCGCGCCTCGCCGGCGGGGTGGGCTGCGGAGGGTCTGGGGGCCTGCGCCGGCGCCCCGGGCGTCACCACGCCGCGTCTGCTCTTCCTGCAGAGATCATGGAGGAGCACACCAAGGAGAACAGCTTCGCCTGGAGGGGGCGGCGCCGGGCGCGGGCGAGGGGCTGCCGCGCCTGGTGTCCCGCGGGCGGCCTCGCTGGGCACCGTCACCCTGGGGCTGCCCGCTGGGCCGGCGGATGGCGCCCGCCCCGGGCCCCGGCCCGCGGCCGCACCTGGTCATCGCGGAGCAGCCCAAGCAGCGCGGCATGCGCTTCCGCCACGAGTGCGAGGGCCGCTCTGCCGGCAGCATCCTGGGCGAGAGCAGCACGAGGCCAGCAAGACGCTGCCCGCCATCGAGGTGAGACGCGCCGGGCGGTCGGCGCCCCTGCCCCTGCCCCGGCAGCGCCGGGACTGAAGACAAAGGCCTCGGGGTGGTGGGAGAAGGGCGGCCGAAGCGAGGCCTTCGGAACCGAGCCCGCGGGTCACGGTACCCAACGAGACCCGTTATCCTTGTCACATTAGAGAGCCATTTATTTCTTTGAAAGGCAGAGTTAGAGACGGAGCGCCCCTCCCGGCCGCCGGTTCCGTCCACGCAGGATGCCCCGGGCCCAGCCGCTGCTGCGGCGCCGCGTGGTTCCGCGTCCCGCGCTCTCGCGAGCAGCGCTGTGCAGCACGTGGTTGAGCGGCCGCGCCTTCCCTGAGCAACTTCTAGAAGGGGAATCTCTGGGGAAAGGGAACTCGCCCCTGGGAACACCCCGCGGTGGCCCCCTGCTCTTCCTGCATCCGGGTCTCCCACGTGGCGGGCGCTTCCGGGTGCTGCTGCGCCTGCGCCGTGTGCCGTCCGCGCTAGAGGCCTGGGCCCTGCTGGCTCCTGTGGCCGCCACGCGTCCGCTTAGAGCCCACGCGTGTCCCCTCTCCTGCCTCCCCACTGCCCTCGGGGAGACCCCTTCCCTCGCAGCCCCTCCTCCCTGGCCGCCTCCAGCACTGTCGCCCCTGCCTGGAGACCCTGCCCCTCACCCTCACCGGGGCCTCTCGCAGGGCCCCAGCCCCCTGCCCGCTCGCCCGCTGAGCAGCACCCTCCCCTTTTTGTTTCTGCAAGCTCCCTGCCCCAGTGCTGGGAGCTGGGAACTCAGTCCAGGCCCCGACCCGGAGCCCGCAGTAGCCTGGAAGCCGGCCCAGAGCCCGCGCCGGACTTGGCGCCCAGGGCTCTGCCATGGCCGCTGGCCCGCAGCTCTGCGCTCACGTTTATTTGGGGGCTCAGTGGGTCCACGCTGTGCTCCCAGCCCGGGAGCGTCGACACGGTGGGTAGCAGTGTGAGTTTGGGGTGAGGGCAGGGATCGGAGCCCTGGCTCTGTCGCCCGTTACTCCGATGGGCCCGTCTGTGGAGTAGGTGCACACCGCAGCGCCCACGGCGTCCGGCTCCCGCTCCTGTGCCTGCCCGGCGTCCGGCTCCCGCTCCTGTGCCTGCCCGGTTGGCATCCTCACTGCTGCTGGATTGCTGCAGGCACTGCGGCCTAAGGCAGGCGGCGCCGCAGAGGAGCTGGGGAACGGGCTTCCTCTCACGTGCGTTTGTGGCTGTGGACAGAGGGACCGGCGGCTCTGGTGCGCCGAGGGCCAATCACCTGGCCCTTCCAAGCTTGCGCGCCTCCCGTCTGTTTCTGCAGGTCAAGAGGGAATCCTTTGGAAGATGTATGTCCCAATTCTCTTGGCAGATTGTAATTGATGTCTAAATTTTCATGTGCTATTTTGTTTATTTGAAAGGCAGAGAGACAAAGAGAGGAGAATTTTCCACCCCCACCCCTTCCCTGTGTCTCTGCACAGTTGGGTCCCTGAAGAATCACCAGGAGGTAGACATGAACGTGGTGAAGATCTGCTTCCAGGCCTCATACCAGAACCAGCAGGGGCAGATGCGCCACATGGACCCCGTGCTCTCCGAGCCCATCTACAACAAGAGTGAGTGGCGGCCGCTGTCCCGGGGCCCATGCGCAGGGACGGACACACAGGCAGTGGCCAGTTCCTAGAAATACTTACTTAGTTCTTTAAGAAGCAGAATGAGGGAGAGGGAGGGAGAAAGAGAGAGAGATCTGTCTGCCGGTTCACTCTGCAAATGGCTGCAAGAGCCAGGGCTGGGCCAGGCGGGTCTCCAGTGTGGGTGACAGGGGCCCCATACAGGTCTCCTATGTGGGTGCGGGGAACCCATCAAGGTCTCCACCCAGGTCTCCCATGTGGGTAGAAGGGGCTCCATCCCAGTCTCCCGTCTGGGTGTAGGGCCTGTATCTGGGTCTCCCGTGTGGGTGCTGGGGCCCCATCCGGGTCTCCCTTATGAGTGCAGGGGCCCGGGCACTGGGGCATCATCCACTCCTTCCCAGGCCCTTGGCAAGGAGCAGGATCAGAAGTGGAGCAGCAGGGACTTGAACCTGTGAGGACTTCCCGAGCAGAGGCTCCGCCCTCTGCGACAAAACCCTACCCTAGCTTCTTCTGTGGAGACAGTAACGTGTTTCTCAGAACCCGCGGCAGGCTCGGCCTTGTCCCACTCGTGGGAACTTGTCTCATGGTGACTCCTAGCTACAGGGAGTCTGGGAAAGTGAGTCCAGGGAGGGGCCCGGGTGTGGACAAGGGCACCGGCTCCCCAGGGAGTGCCACAGGCAAACAAGAGCAGGGGTGCATTCAGGGATTTCAAAGTGCAGCTGAGAGAGCAGCAGCCCAGGTGGGCATAGGGGGCAGGGGGGCTCTCTTCAAGGTGAGCTTAGGGGGCAGGGGGCTCTGTCCCAGGTGGGCTTAGGGGGGCAGGGGACTGTGTCTCAGGTGGGCTTGGTGGGGCAGGGGATCTGTCCCAGGTGGGCTTAGTGGGGCAGGAGGCTGTGTCCTAAGTTGTGTTTGGGGGGCAGGGGACTCTATCACAGGTGTGATTCAGGGGGCAGGGGCTCTGTCCCAGGTGGCCTAGTGGGGCAGGGGGCTCTGTCCCAAGTGGGCTTCGGGGTGCAAGAGGCTCTGTACCAGGTGGGCTTAGTATGGCAGGGGGCTCAATCCCAGGTGGGCTTAGTGGGGCAGGGGCTCTGTATTAAGCTGGCTTAGAGGGAGAGAAGTCTCTGTCCAGGTGGGCTTAGTGGGGCAGGAGGCTCTGTCCCAAGTGGGCTTCGGGGGGCAGGGGGCTCTGTCCCAGGTGGATTTCGGGAGGAAGAGGGCTCTGTCCCAGGTGGGCTTCAGCGGGCAGTGGGCTCTGTCCCAGGTGGACTTGGCGGGGCAGGCGGCTGTGTCCCAAGTAGGCTTGACGTGGCAAGGGGCTCTTTCCTAGGTGGGCTTCAGGTGTAAGGGAGCTCTGTCCCAGGTGGGCTTCGGGGGGCAGGGGGCTCTGTCCCAGATGGGCTTGGTGGGGCAGGAGGCTCTGTCCCAGGTGGGCTTAGCGGGGCAGGGACCTCTATCACAGGTGGGTTTAGTGAGGCAGGGGGCACTGTCCCAGGAGGGCTTAGTGTGGCAGGGGGCTCTGTCCCAGGTGGGCTTAGCGGGGCAGGGGGCTCTGTCCTAGGTGGGCTTAGAGTGGCAGGAGTTTTGTCCAAGTGGGCATAGGGGTGCAGGGCGCTCTGTCCCAGGTAGGCATCAGGGGGCATGGGTCTCTGTCCTAGGAGGGCTTCTGGGGGCAGAGGGTTCTGCCTCTGTGGGCTTTACGGGGCAGGGGGCTGTGTTCCAGGTGGTCTTGCCAGGTCAGGGGGCTCTCTCCCAGGTGGGCTTAGTGGGGCAGGAGTTCTGTCCCAAGTGGGCATAGGGGGCAGGGGGCTCTGTCCCAGGTGGGCTTAGCGATGCAGGGGGCTGTGTCCCAGGTGCGCTTAGTGGGGCAACGGGTTCTGTACCAGGTTGACTTCAGGTGGAAGGGGGCTCTTTTCCATGTGGGCTTCGGGGGACAGGGGGCTCTGTCCCAGTGGGCTTAGCCGGGAAGGGAGCT